TATCTGTCTATCTATCTGTCTGTCTATCTATCTGTCTATCTATCTGTCTATCTATCTGTCTGTCTATCTATCTGTCTATTATCATCTTTCTATCTTTTAAAAATCATTAAACATTCAAATGTATGCATTACATTTTAAAAGATTAGAGTATTATAATAAACGGATACAGATTTTTCGTTATCAAAGTTTATAGTTGTAACAAAAAGCAGAAATCTCACACTCCTTCTGCATTTTATAATAATTTCCTTTTCCTCGAGCGATCATGAGTAATTGTTCGACAGAGGAAAATATAACCGCTGAAAAGACGTAGGAGGAGGAGGCTCTGTGTTTCGTGAGACCATTTTTATAATTTTTATATGCCTTAATTCGTGAATTCGTAACTGGCGCGTTTCACGCATATGCGACCAATTTGGTCGCAGTCTGGAACCCTGACATAGAAAACAGCTGATTTACACTGGAGTAATATTACACTGTTTTTACTGTATTTTTGATCATATAAATGCAGGTGAGCAGAAGAGACTCTCTCAGAAACATTAAAAAAAAACTTAATTATTCCATCTGAGTTGATTCAGTGAGCAAGTGAGTCATCTGAGTCGATTCAGTGAGCAAGTGAGTCATCTGAGTCGATTCAGTGAGCAAGTGAGTCATCTGAACCAATTCAGTGAGCAAGTGAGTCATCTGAGTCGATTCAGTGAGCAAGTGAGTCATCTGAGACGATTTAGTGAGCAAGTGAGTCATCTGAGCCAATTCAGTGAGCAAGTGAGTCATCTGAGCCAATTCAGTGGGCAAGTGAGTCATCTGAGACGATTTAGTGAGCAAGTGAGTCATCTAAACCAATTCAGTGAGCAAGTGAGTCATCTGAGCCAATTCAGTGGGCAAGTGAGTCATCTGAGCCGATTCAGTGAGCAAGCAAGTTGTCTGCCTGATTCAGACCAATGATTCCAGTATTTGATTCACATTAGATTCAACAACTGGTTCAAATGAATCATTACAAAGAATCAAGAGGCTTGATTAAGAATTGGACAGAATCGCACTCATCCAGCGGCCTGTTGTCGTGCTGATTGTTTGTTTGTTTGCGGTACCTTGCAGACTCTCTGCAGAATCTGGAGTTTGCGCTGAACAGACGAGATGCATTCGGAGAAGGTCGACTGAAAGAGAATGCAGAAGACTCGTCCGGAGAAATCAGGAATCTGGGAGAGCTGATGGAGAAACCTGTGAGCAAAAAAAAAAAAGAATTGGTATAAAGCATTTTGAGCTATTCATTCGAACAGTTCTGCATTATAGAAAAAAAATTCCCCGCAAAATAAAGAGATCACCTGACTCATTCCCAGCTAACAAAACCTTTATATACTGTATATCATGCATTCTAAATGTATTTTAATACAATTATTATGCATTGTAACGCATCTTATGATTCATTATAACAGTGGTTACAATTAGTGGTGGAACAGATCACAAAATTCACGGTTCGAATCATTTACAATTTTTGAGCCACCGATCGAATAATTTTTCGGATCAGCAAAAAAAATAAAAATAAAAAAATAATAATATATATATATATATATATGGGGGGTATGACTTTGCTTTTCATTTATTACTTGAAGTTCTTCAATACTACATCAATAACTACTAGCCTAACTGATAAAGTTCACACATTATTAAAAACAAGTGAACAGTCAATAATAAAAAAAGAACAAATACACAAATGACAAGCAGAGATTAATACTAAATAACAAAGTTACAAAGTCTACAGTGGTATTCAGGTACAGAAATCAAATTAATAATACATTTTTTAATTTATAATGCACTTTACATTTCAAAGAAATCTCAAAGTGCTAATAATTAAGCCTAAATGTAAAATAACACTTTGTTCACTGTAGAAATTAAATATAGTTGCATCTTTTGTTAAAGCTGTATTTAGTTGTTTTATGAACATTATGACACAGACGACAGCAGGAATATTAGGCTACTGTCACTTTAAGACCGAATAAACTGACACACATCCGGTTTCTCTCTCAACTGTTCACTGACAGAACCGAGAGAACACTTGCCGAGACGGTGTGTGTGTGTGTGTGTGTGTGAGTGTGTGTGTGTGTGTGTGTCCGCTCAAGGGCAAGGAAACATTATTAAATACCAGCTAATTGAACAAACGTTTGATTAACGTTACTGGTTCTTTGAGAGAACCTTGAAAGAACGTTCCCTGTTAACTTTGAAAGTTATTAATTGTGTTTCTGTGTGTGTGTGTGTGCGCGCGTGTGTTTTGGTCCTCACTGCTCGGGTTTGTCCAGAGGTTTGGTTCCTTCTTTGTCTTTTGAGGATTTGACGTGTTTCTCGATTTTGTCCAGCTCATCTTGCTGGGCTCTCTGAAAACACACAACAGCATTTCAACACAATCAAACTATTCTTTTACAACTCGAAAACACTAGTGATGCTTCTGGACAATAACCTGGAAGAATAAAACTAACATCTACATTTATGTACGATGGTCAAAAGTGTAATCAGTTTAGCTTTCACCGCATCCACTGTACTTCACACAAATATGCACACTGGTGTTCTTGCGCTCAGCCGCATTATTATTCGTCTGGAAGGAGAACAGAGCGCAATCAAAGTCGTCAGGAAGCCGGAGTCCAATAAAAGCTGCAGCGTCTCTTGAGTTTCCTTCTCTCTCCGAGCGAACGAACAACAGAAACAGAGTTTGGGGCCGCAAATTATGGAAAATGTGGTATTGTGAAAGTACATCAAACAGCCAGACGCGATTGACACAGTAAAGACGGAGACAGATACACACTCTCCAACAGAGACAGATACACACTATCAGTAAATCTCCACTTCAGCAGTTTCACACACACACACACAGTTTTATCCATATCTATATTCTGAAGGTTTATTTATATCATTCACCTGATTTATACACTATTTTACTCTTAAAAACATGGTGAAAATGTATTTGTTTTCTAGATGTTGACAGTATTTTCTGATTTATGAGTGATAAGAGATTTCCACAATCCAAAAACCTTTAACACTAATATGCCAACAAAAATAAAACAAGAATTTTGAAACTGGCTTTATGCAATGTTAAGATTTCTGGTCTGGAAATGTATGCAAATTAGTGCATATCAACTTAGAAAATGAATAATTTTCAAAGCAATTTGGTTTGAAAAATTGTCACCATGGATTTTTACTGAACAACTAATAATGTTTAAATAACCTCCAAGATGCATTAGAGACAAACAGCAGCTGTGAAGCTCAAATCATATTGCCTGAATATCATCACGTATGCATAATTAGATGAAATTTGCATCATCACGTATATGCATATCTAATTAGATGGAATTTGCATCATTACGTATATGCATATCCAATTAGATGGAATTTGCATCATCACGTATGCATATCTAATTAGATGGAATTTGCATCATTACGTATATGCATATCCAATTAGATGGAATTTGCATCATCACGTATGCATATCTAATTAGATGGAATTTGCATCATCATGTATATGCATATCCAATTAGATGGAATTTGCATCACGTATGCATATCTAATTAGATGGAATTTGCATCATCATGTATGCATATCCAATTAGATGGAATTTGCATAATCACATATGCATATCTAATTAGATGGAATTTGCATCATCATGTATATGCATATCCAATTAGATGGAATTTGCATCATCACGTATGCATATCTAATTAGATGGAATTTGCATCATCATGTATATGCATATCCAATTAGATGGAATTTGCATCACGTATGCATATCTAATTAGATGGAATTTGCATCATGTATATGCATATCCAATTAGATGGAATTTGCATCACATATGCATATCCAATTAGATGGAATTTGCATCATCACATATGCATATCTAATTAGATGGAATTTGCATCATCACATATGCATATCCAATTAGATGGAATTTGCATCATCACATATGCATATCCAATTAGATGGAATTTGCATCATCATGTATGCATATCCAATTAGATGGAATTTGCATCATCACGTATGCATATCCAATTAGATGGAATTTGCATCATCATGTATGCATATCCAATTAGATGGAATTTGCATCATCACGTATATGCACATCCAATCAGACGGCATTCGGACCAATCGTGTCAAAATAATGCTCAAAATGGATTAAAAAACCTCCAAATTAAGTGTTTTGAGCGCAGCAGATCTTTAAAGTGCAAGTTTCCCCGTCTCATCGTCGTTTACTAAGTGCGTAAGAGAACCAGCCCTCACCACACAGACAGCAGTTTCCCTCGGAGCAGAACTGCAGAATAAATACCTTCATAAACAAACCCGGCGACATCAAACGGCACAGAAACGCACAGCCGAGCGGCTTAGGGCATCAGGAAGGTGATCAAAGAGAGAAACTGCTCTCGCTCTCAGACACAAGAGAGAAGCACAGGACAAATGAGGCTAAGACAAACACTGTGGTTCAGGAGAGAGACTTGTGTACGGCTCAGGCGTGAATATAAACTCTGGGAAAGGTTCTCGGCTCCATTAAGCATCATCACGAGATCTATATATACACACACAGCACTTCAAATGCGGTGATTACACCAGCGCTGCCTCACATTCACGGCATTTTAAGTGTAAATACTTTTAATATGAAGCAGCTTCACCAAGGCTCGGCCACGAGCGCCTTCAAACGCAAACTCAAAGACAATATACAGATACGACTGCTAGAGGATCGCAGGCTTGATGTATATACGCGACTGACATCTGTATACGTGCCAGACTGGAAACTAGCACTCATAAAACGAGGAGAAAACACATTAGTGCGATCATTAGGTGCATTACTGGAGTCTGACTGCAAAGGACTTTGTTTTTCTCTTCTTTTTTGCTGTTGGAAGAGGTCTGGATTTCATAATCACGGAGCGAGCCAGACGAAAACATCTTAACCTTTCCTCCTCGACAGACAGATGATCAATCTGAAGACTATCGGGATCGAATCTTACCAGTTCAATGAGTTTGGCACGCGATGCTTTAAAATAAATACATGATATTTATGCAAAAGCAGCTCAAACTAAAACAAAAGCTGCACTTTTCCTACTTTAGTCAAAGCATGTGTCAGAACGCTCTGCTCAAACGGGGTGATTTTCTCCACAAGTGCTTTTTTGGGAATTTGTTTTTGCACAATCCAAAGTGAAGATTTTCAGACATCGTGTTTGCTTCCAGAAATGTTTGAGTTTTTCAGACATCATATTGTTCTGAGGAACCTTTCTTCACATTGATCTAGACTACAGGTGTGTGATGTCACATGATCACTGCACACACACATTCAACAATGAAAAACATCAGAATGTAGAAAAGCATCAGTAGTAATCACGATGTTGTCAATTAAAACTACCTATTAAACTTGGAAAAATTTATATAACTCAATAATAAAACCAATTCTTGTACATGGATGTGAAATTTGGGGATTAGTCCTACATTTAAAAAATTGGGATAAAATTAAAAACTAGAAAAACTACAATTAGAACATTTTAGGGGTTCACGAAGCACGTCCTGCAGGGATGAATCACTAAAAACATATTTTGACCTCCAAAATAAACTGTTATTCGACCCTTAATAGAACCACTAAATTGGCCAATTATCTATTATATTAGCAACTTAAAGAAAGACAAATCCTCTCCAAATACAGATTAAGTGATGATCTAGAAATAGAGAGAGGAAGACAAACAAACATGGACAGACAATGTGATCTACAGCAAATAGAGGATGAGAAACTCTACTCATGTGTAGTAAATATCACGACACAGATCTGAAACATTGACTCCATCATTCATTGAACTGAGAAAACGTCCTTCACAATTCATGAAAGCACAGCTGCAAAACATGAGGTCACGCTTTAGATTAGGGTCCGACTCTCACTATTAACTACGACTCTCCTGCTTATTAATAGTTAGTAAGGTAGTTGTTAAGTTTAGGTATTGTAGGATTGAGGGATGTAGAATATGGTCATGCAGAATAATGCATTAACATGTGCTTTATAAGTACTGATAAACAGCCAATATCCTAGTGATGTGCATGATAATACACAACTAGTTTTATAGTGAGAATTGGAGCCTAAACTAAAGTGTTACCAAATATGTTTTAGCCATTTACAATGTTAGAGACCTGCTTCATTTATTCAGATGGATTTGATATATTTATGCTACATATGACATGATCTATACACATGTGTGTTTTTATTATGTGTTAGCAACATTATGCTACAGAGTCATGCTAATAAAGCTGATTTGAGAGAGAGAGAGCCTGAGTGTGTGTGTGTGTGTGTGTGTAAGAGAGAGAGAGATATATTCTCTGCTTACGTTCTCATAGAGGGCCTGTAACGTCTCCAGATCAACCACAGTATTATCCAGATTCAGGATCGCTGGAGACACAGAAACAGACAGAAATCATCCTCATCCTACATGTAAAAACCAAACATTCAACAGCGTATAAATCAAACTCTCCTGAATGTTACAGAATGAACCGGCGACCCAGGACGGTCTATAGGACTGCGATGCTTTCAGATGTGGACGGACTCGTGATTTTAGTTTAAAAAGTTGCTTTTTTATTAAACTTTCCCACTTTAAATGTTGATATAAAAAAAAGAATGCATGAAGCTAGAATAAAACATTTTGTTGTTTAAAAGCAGTCCTCCTTTCTTTTGCATGTTCAGATATTCATACTACAAAATATTCTGGGGCCCATAAAGTTTCGTGAAAGTAATCAAAATTGCTGGCGCTGGCTGAGTGGCTGTCGCGTTTAATCAATACTAGGGGTGTAACGGTACACAAAAATCACGGTTTCGGTACGCACCTCGGTTTTAAAGTCACGGTTCGGTACGTTTTCGATACAGCAAAAAGTAAGAAATGCCAGAGAAATGTCCTATTTGTTAAATTTTTTAAATAAGTGTGAGTTTTCCTACATCTTGAAACTTTCAGGTTTATAAATGGGGGTCATCTTTGAAGGATGAACAAATAATGTTTTGGTCATCACATTAAAAATAACATTAACTATATGAAGAGTTCAGATGCAAAAGCCATATGAAATTTTCTTCTAAAATGATAATTTTTATTAAGCTTGTATCTTTAAGTTCAGTAATTTCACTTAAATGGCAATGAAGATTACCTATTAATTGTCATTTGAGTGAAATTACTGAACTTAAATATACAAGCTTCATAAAAATGATCATTCTAGAAGAAAATTTCAAATGGCACTTAGAGGCTTTTGCATCTGAACTCTTCATATATTTATTTATATAATATTTGAGTTTTTTATATTTGTACCGTTACACCCCTAATCAATACTCAAACTTCTTGATCTTTGTGCAGCATTTGATACCATTTCACAGTCTATACTCTTAAGCAGGTTTCGTTCCCATCTCACGGACACTCTCAATCTGTACAACTCAGTTTATATCAAACCACCTATGTTGTCACTGGTGTTCCCCAGGGCTCTGTTTTAGGACCTCTTTTGTTTATTGTTTATCTTATACCAATTGGCATCATCTTTAGGAAATATGACATTCATTTGCAGACGACACCCAACTTTATCTGTGTTCTAAACCTCCAAGGTTTCCCTCTTCTGCTCTTGGTGAGTGCTTAAGTGAATTAAAAAAATGGTTTAAGTAATTTTCTCAAATTGAATAATAGTAAAGCAGAAATTATTCTCGTTGGTTAAAAAAATACAATATCTAAGTCACATATTTCTTCTGTGGTAATAGATAATTGCTCTGTTCCTCTGAATAATCAGGTTTAAGGGTTTGGGTGTCAGAACTCTGTCTTTTGAAGCTCATATTAACAGTGTTACCCGTTCTGCATTATATCAGGAATATAGATCGCCTGTGTCGTGTCCTCTCACTCGAGAGAACTGCTGCTGCGTGTGCATGCCCTGTGACGCCACGACTCGACTACTGTAATGCTGTGTTTTATGGGCTTCCTTCCAAACCTCTTCATAAATTACAGTTGGCACAAAATGCCGCAGCTCGAGTCCAACACTTCCATTTCTGAACATTTTCTCCTGTTTTACTGAATTTGCATTGGCTCCCAGATAAAGTCCATGTAAATTTTAACTTAACTTCCAAAGCACTTAACAACTCGGCTCCTTCATATCTTCTCGATCTTGTTCATATACACACTTCTGCACTTCCACGCACTCGGACGACTTCCACGGCTCTCGAGCTTTTGGTTACGCGGCTCCCCATTTATGGAATTCACTTCCCGTAGAAGTTCGCAACAGTTCGTCTTTACATCTCATGTTAAAACTGATCTGTTTAGGCAGGCTTTTATGTGATTTAATGTTTGTTGCTGTGCTGGTTTTATTGTTTAATGTCATTGCTTTAATGGATTTTGTAAGGTGTCCTTGACTGACATGAAAGGCGCCAATAAATAAAATGTATAATAACAATAAAAAAAAAAAGTTTAACAATTAGTGATAAGTCCAATCCTGTCACTAACACTAGTTAAAGTTGAGTGTGTGTGTGTGTGTCTCGTCCTGCAGCATGAATGACTGAATAAACACAGCAGAGTTATTTCAATGCTCGAGTTTGTTCAGAGGAGGTTCACGTTCAGGGTCCATCTGATATGTTATGGACCTGCAGGCTATCAGGAGATCAGGAAACACTCGCTGCCACACAGAGAATGCCTTCGAGACTCACACACGTCAATGCCCAGACGAGCATTCAAATGAAGGAGCCAGAGGAAAACAGGAAACACATGAACAAAACCTCCAGCTTCACGTTCACCTCGACCCACTGGTGACCGCAAGCGATCCGCCCGACTCAAACCTGACCAGAAGTCATGTGACCACCAGTCCAACAGTGCGCAGAAGTCATGTGACCACCAGTCCAACAGTGCGCGCGCAGAAGTCATGTGACCACCAGTCCAACAGTGCACAGAAGTCATGTGACCACCAGTCCAACAGTGCGCAGAAGTCATGTGACCACCAGTCCAACAGTGCACAGAAGTCATGTGACCACCAGTCCAACAGTGCGCAGAAGTCATGTGACCACTAGGGGTGCGCCAAAATATCGATATGGCGATATCTCACAATATTTACTCCCGCGATCGATTCTCGATGCGCTCTTGCCAAGTATCGATCTTAAAAGCCGTTATAAAACGCTCTATTCATTATCCGAGTTGACTGGATTTGACTAGCTTTCATGAGGCACACACGCAAAGTCTCTCGCTCTCTCCCTCTCTGCCGTGCTATGTGTTATGCGCGCAGTAGGCTGTTCTGTCTCGCATGCGCGCTCTAGATTCCGGGAGATTTGAACTCATTTGCGGGCATCAGGGAGACGCTATCATTATGCGGGAGACTCCCGGAACTTCCGGGAGACTTGGGATGTCTGGCTTTGCAAAAGTCCGCAAAACGGGAAACACGACCACATGTACAGACACCTCACGCGGCATCACCCGGAGCTCTGTGAGAAAGCCGTGGTTGGTGCTGGCTCGAAGCCGACACACCCCGGCGTAAACATTTTTATTACTACTGATTGCAGCAATGTTACACTAAAATAGTGTCTGTGACTGTTTTGTTGCAACTGATAAGACACAAGTTGTTTTTGTTATTGTGTTTCATCCCAAAAAATAAATGGAGATTAATTTTCCCAATTAAAAAAAAAAAAGTGTATTTCTTAAAACATGATATATTGTGAGTTATTACTGATAATATGTCGATTATCGCAGTATCGCCATATCGTGATATTATCGGTATCGTGAACAATGTATCGCATATCGTATCGTATCGTGAAATACCCAGCGATTCCCAGCCCTAGTGACCACCAGTCCAACAGTGCGCGCACAGAAGTCATGTGACCACCAGTCCAACAGTGCACAGAAGTCATGTGACCACCAGTCCAACAGTGCGCGCGCAGAAGTCATGTGACCACCAGTCCAACAGTGCGCAGAAGTCATGTGACCACCAGTCCAACAGTGCGCAGAAGTCATGTGACCACCAGTCCAACAGTGCGCAGAAGTCATGTGACCACCAGTCCAACAGTGCGCAGAAGTCATGTGACCACCAGTCCAACAGTGCGCAGAAGTCATGTGACCACCAGTCCAACAGTGCGCAGAAGTCATGTGACCACCAGTCCAACAGTGCGCAGAAGTCATGTGACCACCAGTCCAACAGTGCGCAGAAGTCATGTGACCACCAGTCCAACAGTGCGCAGAAGTCATGTGACCACCAGTCCAACAGTGCGCAGAAGTCATGTGACCACCAGTCCAACAGTGCGCAGAAGTCATGTGACCACCAGTCCAACAGTGCGCAGAAGTCATGTGACCACCAGTCCAACAGTGCGCAGAAGTCATGTGACCACCAGTCCAACAGTGCGCAGAAGTCATGTGACCACCAGTCCAACAGTGCGCAGAAGTCATGTGACCACCAGTCCAACAGTGTGCGCGCAGAAGTCATGTGACCACCAGTCCAACAGTGTGCGCGCAGAAGTCATGTGACCACCAGTCCAACAGTGTGCGCGCAGAAGTCATGTGACCACCAGTCCAACAGTGCACAGAAGTCATGTGACCACCAGTCCAACAGTGCGCAGAAGTCATGTGACCACCAGTCCAACAGTGCGCAGAAGTCATGTGACCACCAGTCCAACAGTGCGCAGAAGTCATGTGACCACCAGTCCAACAGTGTGCGCGCAGAAGTCATGTGACCACCAGTCCAACAGTGCGCAGAAGTCATGTGACCACCAGTCCAACAGTGCGCAGAAGTCATGTGACCACCAGTCCAACAGTGTGCGCGCAGAAGTCATGTGACCACCAGTCCAACAGTGTGCGCGCAGAAGTCATGTGACCACCAGTCCAACAGTGTGCGCGCAGAAGTCATGTGACCACCAGTCCAACAGTGCGCAGAAGTCATGTGACCACCAGTCCAACAGTGCGCAGAAGTCATGTGACCACCAGTCCAACAGTGTGCGCGCAGAAGTCATGTGACCACCAGTCCAACAGTGCGCGCGCAGAAGTCATGTGACCACCAGTCCAACAGTGCGCAGAAGTCATGTGACCACCAGTCCAACAGTGCGCGCGCAGAAGTCATGTGACCACCAGTCCAACAGTGCGCAGAAGTCATGTGACCACCAGTCCAACAGTGCGCAGAAGTCATGTGACCACCAGTCCAACAGTGCGCAGAAGTCATGTGACCACCAGTCCAACAGTGTGCGCGCAGAAGTCATGTGACCACCAGTCCAACAGTGCACAGAAGTCATGTGACCACCAGTCCAACAGTGTGCGCGCAGAAGTCATGTGACCACCAGTCCAACAGTGCGCAGAAGTCATGTGACCACCAGTCCAACAGTGTGCGCGCAGAAGTCATGTGACCACCAGTCCAACAGTGTGCGCACAGAAGTCATGTGACCACCAGTCCAACAGTGCACAGAAGTCATGTGACCACCAGTCCAACAGTGCACAGAAGTCATGTGACCACCAGTCCAACAGTGCGCAGAAGTCATGTGACCACCAGTCCAACAGTGCGCGCGCAGAAGTCATGTGACCACCAGTCCAACAGTGCACAGAAGTCATGTGACCACCAGTCCAACAGTGCGCAGAAGTCATGTGACCACCAGTCCAACAGTGCACAGAAGTCATGTGACCACCAGTCCAACAGTGCACAGAAGTCATGTGACCACCAGTCCAACAGTGCGCAGAAGTCATGTGACCACCAGTCCAACAGTGCGCGCGCAGAAGTCATGTGACCACCAGTCCAACAGTGCGCGCGCAGAAGTCATGTGACCACCAGTCCAACAGTGTGCGCGCAGAAGTCATGTGACCACCAGTCCAACAGTGTGCGCGCAGAAGTCATGTGACCACCAGTCCAACAGTGTGCGCGCAGAAGTCATGTGACCACCAGTCCAACAGTGCGCAGAAGTCATGTGACCACCAGTCCAACAGTGCACGCGCAGAAGTCATGTGACCACCAGTCCAACAGTGCACAGAAGTCATGTGACCACCAGTCCAACAGTGTGCGCGCAGAAGTCATGTGACCACCAGTCCAACAGTGCACGCGCAGAAGTCATGTGACCACCAGTCCAACAGTGCACAGAAGTCATGTGACCACCAGTCCAACAGTGCACAGAAGTCATGTGACCACCAGTCCAACAGTGCGCGCGCAGAAGTCATGTGACCACCAGTCCAACAGTGCGCGCGCAGAAGTCATGTGACCACCAGTCCAACAGTGCGCGCGCAGAAGTCATGTGACCACCAGTCCAACAGTGTGCGCACAGAAGTCATGTGACCACCAGTCCAACAGTGCACAGAAGTCATGTGACCACCAGTCCAACAGTGCACAGAAGTCATGTGACCACCAGTCCAACAGTGCGCAGAAGTCATGTGACCTCCAGTCCAACAGTGCGCGCGCAGAAGTCATGTGACCACCAGTCCAACAGTGCACAGAAGTCATGTGACCACCAGTCCAACAGTGCGCAGAAGTCATGTGACCACCAGTCCAACAGTGCACAGAAGTCATGTGACCACCAGTCCAACAGTGCACAGAAGTCATGTGACCACCAGTCCAACAGTGCGCAGAAGTCATGTGACCACCAGTCCAACAGTGCGCGCGCAGAAGTCATGTGACCACCAGTCCAACAGTGCGCGCGCAGAAGTCATGTGACCACCAGTCCAACAGTGTGCGCGCAGAAGTCATGTGACCACCAGTCCAACAGTGTGCGCGCAGAAGTCATGTGACCACCAGTCCAACAGTGTGCGCGCAGAAGTCATGTGACCACCAGTCCAACAGTGCGCAGAAGTCATGTGACCACCAGTCCAACAGTGCACGCGCAGAAGTCATGTGACCACCAGTCCAACAGTGCACAGAAGTCATGTGACCACCAGTCCAACAGTGTGCGCGCAGAAGTCATGTGACCACCAGTCCAACAGTGCACGCGCAGAAGTCATGTGACCACCAGTCCAACAGTGCACAGAAGTCATGTGACCACCAGTCCAACAGTGCGCGCGCAGAAGTCATGTGACCACCAGTCCAACAGTGCGCGCGCAGAAGTCATGTGACCACCAGTCCAACAGTGCGCGCGCAGAAGTCATGTGACCACCAGTCCAACAGTGCGCGCACAGAAGTCATGTGACCACCAGTCCAACAGTGCGCGCGCAGAAGTCATGTGACCACCAGTCCAACAGTGCGCGCGCAGAAGTCATGTGACCACCAGTCCAACAGTGCGCGCGCAGAAGTCATGTGACCACCAGTCCAACAGTGCGCGCGCAGAAGTCATGTGACCACCAGTCCAACAGTGCGCGCGCAGAAGTCATGTGACCACCAGTCCAACAGTGCGCGCGCAGAAGTCATGTGACCACCAGTCCAACAGTGCACGCGCAGAAGTCATGTGACCACCAGTCCAACAGTGCACGCGCAGAAGTCATGTGACCACCAGTCCAACAGTGTGCGCGCAGAAGTCATGTGACCACCAGTCCAACAGTGCGCGCGCAGAAGTCATGTGACCACCAGTCCAACAGTGTGCGCGCAGAAGTCATGTGACCACCAGTCCAACAGTGCGCGCGCAGAAGTCATGTGACCACCAGTCCAACAGTGCGCAGAAGTCATGTGACCACCAGTCCAACAGTGCACGCGCAGAAGTCATGTGACCACCAGTCCAACAGTGCACAGAAGTCATGTGACCACCAGTCCAACAGTGTGCGCGCAGAAGTCATGTGACCACCAGTCCAACAGTGCGCAGAAGTCATGTGACCACCAGTCCAACAGTGCACAGAAGTCATGTGACCACCAGTCCAACAGTGCGCGCGCAGAAGTCATGTGACCACCAGTCCAACAGTGCGCGCGCAGAAGTCATGTGACCACCAGTCCAACAGTGCGCGCGCAGAAGTCATGTGACCACCAGTCCAACAGTGCACAGAAGTCATGTGACCACCAGTCCAACAGTGCGCGCGCAGAAGTCATGTGACCACCAGTCCAACAGTGCACGCGCAGAAGTCATGTGACCACCAGTCCAACAGTGCACGCGCAGAAGTCATGTGACCACCAGTCCAACAGTGCGCGCGCAGAAGTCATGTGACCACCAGTCCAACAGTGCGCGCGCAGAAGTCATGTGACCACCAGTCCAACAGTGCACAGAAGTCATGTGACCACCAGTCCAACAGTGCACAGAAGTCATGTGACCAAATCCTTGTTTAATATTGGCCAAACAACATTTAATTAAAATGTCCACTTAATCTTTCATATTTGGTCACTTCTGTCCGATAGAAATGCAACAGCCGCTGTAATTTCTTGAACCAGAATATGTGCACATCAAGATCGAAACATGCAAACTCAGTTCAAGGGTTTAAACTTTTCATTTGAAATCGCAATGAACAACAATTCGCATATTTAGAAACATATTTATGTATTCTCCAGCGTTGGCGTAGATTTACAAATATTCTGAAATGGCACACACTGCGTTCCCAGATGCACGATATTGGAGAGCCAAACACATCACATGCAGAGATTGTTGTGTGTGTGTGTGTGTGTGTGTGCGCGCAGCCTTTACCGTAAACGAGGCTGAGGTCATTTTAACACGTAATCTGCACGCATGTAAATAATTAAAGCGTTGTGCTTCTGTGAAAAAAGAAAAAAAAGCGCATATATTTATTTAACTGAATCGCAGCCTTTGCTATATAATGATTTTAAATTGTTTTAGTATAGCGCGTAACCTATAAAACGGTGTAAAGCCGCTCCGGTATTCTGCCGGTTACTCGACGCGGGTGAATGATTGCAACCGAGGAGTTTCACGATGGAGTGCTGGACTTTACTGGAGGAATCGTGACCGGCCGTCCAGCAGTAGAGCTTCGGGGCGGTGGTTCTTCAGGTTTACCAGTGCACAACTGGAGCCCAGTTTCTCAACGTCAGGAGTGTGAAAAGGCAGAGAGCGGAGCACCATAAGTGTAGGATCGGCTCACCGTGCTGAATGTCCTTCATGTCGAGATGCAAACTGGACATCAGAATCCCCACCGCCTGCGAGCGCTTGGTGTTCAGCAGCTTCACCACCTGAAACACACACACACACACACACACACACACACACACACACACACACACACACACACACACACACACACACACACACACACACACACACACACACACACACACACACACACACACACACACACACACACACACACACACACACACACACACACACACACACACACACACACACACACACACACACACACACACACACACACACACACACACACACACACACACACACACACACACACACACACACACACACACACACACACACACACACACACACACACACACACACACACACACACACACACACACACACACACACACACACACACACACACACCATTTACTGCAAAATAATGCATGGAAAATACAGTTGTACAGCCTCACTGCTTTCTAAAAACCTTTTGCATATAATATAAGCATCCAGATTAAGCCCTTGTGCTTGAAGAGTGTTTCCCAGACGGATAAAGACATGATGGATGCACACAGATATTCAATATAACACGACCTCAAGTGCTCTAAAAGACCTTAAACATACAAATGATTTAATAAAACTTATTTAAGAGTCTCCCTCTTGAAGAGGATTTCCTGAACAGAAGCTGATAGACGTACACTGTAAAAATGTTGTAAAAGATTTAAGTCTTTGTACTTCAAAATGTCATGCTTTTCCATGTTTCATGTGTTTCTTTGACACAATTTTCACTCTGGACAAATAGTGTCGAATTTACTTTGTAATTATTTGTGAAATTTACTAGGAATTTCTGTGTAATTATGCAATATACACACAATATATAACATGAGCTCAAGTGCTTTTAACTCTCTGGGGTCGGCGGTCTCGCCGGCGATACCAGCTCACTTTTTTCCTTATCAGTGCAAAAGAGACTCAAATTACTCTGTTAATTTTGATCTTACATATAAGTGTTGTACATCATTCGATCCTGTTAAGTTTGTATTTTTTTTGTGGAACCTCACAATAAAAACAAAGTGTTGTGCTTTTCGCCTAATAAAGAAAAATAAACATGATGCGCGTTCTGCGTTCTCTCTGTCAGTGAAGTCCATTCTGAAACGCGTCCGAAAAATCATCTGTAACTCTGCAAATACTCAGTCAAACAGGTATACAGGCACACAGGCATGAAGCCTGAATTATCTTCTTTTAAATGAAGTAATTTATATTAAAAAAATTTTTTCTCATTTTATGTAATCTGTACGAAAAGAGAGAGATGATAGTCGTTCTCGTCTCAGCTCATTAAAGTTAATTTGACCACGCCCACGGAGCGCGCGCTCTATTCAAACACAAATGCTCTGAGGCGATCCACGCCCACATCAGCTGGATAACCACCGAAAGAGACACATATTACGATGCTGTGAGGAATAATAGTACTATCTTAATAATAATCCTGGAAAAAATTACCTCAGAAGTAGGCTACAGGTAGTTTCATTTGGAGGAGCAACGGATCCAGCCGAGGAAATAGGTACATTATTTTCAAGTGCTTTGTTCTAATCGCGATATGGAATAGTGTCGGTAAACAAAAAGACTGTTTGGATCGCGTTTTTGTGTGTGAATGAATGAACAGCTTTTACCTAAGTATATTCCAATACTGAGATGAGTAAAAATCGACTGAAATATGTTGAAATAAAATATTTTTGTATAAGCAACGTATTAAACTGCAAATTAACATTTATATGTCCTAATCATAAAAACGATATGTTACATATGAAAGACAAGATGTCGTTTTTACTGTAAAATACTGCCACATCAAATAAGCTTGTTGCTAAGATGTTATTATAGTGTTTGTTCGATTGTAAGCTATATTCAAACTAATTAATCCGCAACTGTGAAATATGTATGATAAAATGTATACTTTAGTATATAATACAAAGAAAGATTACATTTGAAATATAGTTAAAATTTTTATTGTTGTTGTAATTGTAACCTTTTTATTAAAATAGCAAAAATATATGTAGGCTACATATAAATAAATCTTAGGTACATCTTAAAAGCTCAATATAAGCCTCCTCTTTAAATTATTTGTATTGTGTTTTATTAGTGACACATGGGGATACATTCCCAAACTTTCTGTAAAAACAGTATGATAATTAACTGCACAATTACTAGAAATTTTTACATTTGATATTATACAATTTGCAAGCACAATTTGAAAAATAAATAAATAATTGGAACTGTGAACCAATTTTGTATTATATAGGCATATATATATATATATATATATATTGTCATTGCATTCTTGTGGCTCAGTGACACACCTGAATGAAAGGCTCATTAGTATGCAGCCCCATTATGCGCTCATTATGCGGGCCCATTGTCTTCTCAGGTGTGAATCACAGCAGGTCACACCCCTGCGCATATTGCCTTTCCAAACAAAAAGTGTCATTTTTAAATTTAAACCAATCTATTGTTTTATGTGAATGATAAGACAGGATGATTTTCAGATCATTTTGAAGAAAAAACTCTAGGCCACAACATCCATTAGTCAAAAGTCTTGTGGACACATATTTAGTATGTGTTTTGTGGCCTTATTTCAGAAACTTTAAGTTTTAGTTTTTTCAATAACCACGCATAAACAATATTCTCTCAAAAATACAAAAATGTACATACATGTTGATAACACATTATGGTAGCCCTGTGTGTGCTAAATAGAGTGTAATTACACCTTTGCCAGTAATATGTTTATAAGCAACTGAAAAAAGCACAAATGTCAGAGTATGTCGAAACATCTCAAGGACCCCAAAAACACCTTGGACCCCAGAGGGTTAAAAACGTTTTGCACAATGTAAATAAGCATTCAAATTAAGCAAATTCGCTTAGGAATCATTTAACCCGCTCATTTTCACAAAAGATGCTAAAAAATAATTTTGAAGTTGTGAATAAAACATTATGCAAGCTCGTTTTACAAGAAAACACCATTTCAGTCTTTCCACTTCAAATTTTGACTTAATTCAATGCATTACTTGCAGTTTCTTTGAAAATAATTGGTGTAGAATTGACTTTTACTAGGAATTTCTGACTGAAAATGCTTTCACTTTAACAAATAATTACAAAGTAGATGCAGAATAGCTCACACAATATAACATGAGCTGACATTGTACACAATATAAGTGCCTTACTACTTTAACAAAATGTTTTTCCACATAATAAAGATATAAATTACACAAATATATATATATATATATATATATATATATATATATATATATATATATATATATATATATATATATATATATAATTCATCAGTTAAAGCGAGAATGACTGAAGTATTTGCATGTCTACAGATTAAGCCACAATCTTAGTGAACTTGTCAATCATCTTGGATGACGCAGAGGAAACTGACCAATAAGAGGACAGTTTTACTCACATGTGACTTGCATAAACTCATTTTGGTACAGCTTTGAAATGTCTTGCCAACCAAACCAAGAAGAAAATGCAACAAATTAAGTCCCTGTTTTTGCAAACGATCGACACGTTTGAAAACTTAATTGCTTCCAAATAACTAAATATTGCTACTCATATTTAATGAAACATAAACATTATGTAACGTCTGTCAGTCGTCAGATCACGACAGGAGAACATCGACTCAGCGTCTGTACGTCTGTAATTGCATCTATTTGGTCATTATGTGCTTATTTTAAAAGAAAAGTGGTTTCGGCTCGACTTCAACCTGAAGAACAAAACCCAATTCATTCAGCGCTGATCTTTATCAATCATGAGGACAATGAAGGTCCGTCTGCGCATGCAATCATGGTCACGTGATCATAAACCCGTCCGGCAGGAACATGGCGCTCGCTGTGTGTGTGTGTGTGTGTGTGACTCCAGATCGATCACGGGCTTGACGTCAGAGAGGAACCAGAACACAATACACCTCACACAAACTGATCTGGACCCGAAACCACAATTGAATGTGAAGAACACACAGCTTCAGCTTCAGTAGAGGAGAAGATTCCTGAGAACAAACGAGCGAGACTACATGAGAAACGCTGCATTACTGAGACTGACACCGTGGACACGCATCAGAGGCAGCCTTTAATACCACACTACTAATAGCCTTATTTAAAACTAGCATTATTGTTATCACTACTATTATTATTATTTGTCCTCCTTATCCAACCTCCCCTCATTCCTGATGAAATGAGTTTGTTATTAATACTACTACTAATACTATTATTATTAGTCATCTTCCAACTCCTCATTCCTGATTAACTGAGTTCATTATTATTGCTACTATTATTATTATTACATTATTCTATAATACTTTATTATATCATCTTCCTCATCCTCGTTATTATTTTTACTATCATCATTATTATTGGCATTAATATGCGTTTCTTACCATTATGTTTGTTATACATCTCTAGATGTTCCTTTATGTTCGTTTATATGCGGCCGCTCCCATACCCAGTTACACACACTTACACGCACACACACACTCGCACTTACACGCACACACACTTGCACACGCACTCACACGCACACACTTACAATCACACACACTCGCACTTACACGCACACACACTTGCACACGCACACACACTTGCACACGCAGTTACACACACACTTGTACACGCACTTACACGCACACGCACTTACACACTTGCACTTACAATCACACACTCGCACTTACACACACACTTGCACACGCACTTATACACACTTGTACGCACACGCAGTTACACACACGCACTTACACACTTGTACACGCACACACACTTGCACACGCACTTACACGCACAGGAACTTACACACTTGCACTTACAATCACACACTCGCACTTACACACACACTTGCACACGCACTTACACACGCACTTATACACACTTGTACGCACACGCACTTACACGCACACACTTGCACACGCAGTTACACACACGCACTTACACACTTGTACACGCACACACACTTGCACACGCACTTACACGCACAGGAACTTACACACTTGCACTTACAATCACACACTCGCACTTACACACACACTTGCACACGCACG